TGAAGGCATCGCCAACCCCATTTCCAGCTTAACTTTATCCTGTGGTTGGTGGAAGCTACACGAGGGTTTTAAACTGGGGACGTCATTACGAGAGATTATTTTAGTGGTACTGGAGAAGATGGATTTGAGGGAGATGAAGATTTGAAGAAGCATAACTTCTTAGGAGGCACTTGCACAAATGAGTAATAAAATTGTATTTATATTTAATAATCATGGCTAACATTTACTTAGCACTTAGAGGATGGCAGGTACTAAATCCGCATTTTAATGTAATAATCTTAACAAACAATCTTATGAGTAAATACTATTACTATCTTCATTTTACAGATAACAAGATACACATAGAGTTAAGTAATTTGCTCAACGCCAGTATCAATCCAGGTAAACTGCAACTAAAGCTTAGGCTCTTACTCACCATCCCATTTGTTTAATTACTTCTTTTTGTATTAGAATGAAACCTTCAGGCAGACAGGAACCACACTTGGTGTCTTTCCCTCTGTGCTTACACAGGAGGTATCACGTAACTATTTGTTGAATAAAATTAATGAATAACCCACGTGGAGAAAATAGTGGACTAAATTATGTATAGGTTCCAAAAACAGGTTGGATGCAATACTGATAATTGCTATGATTTGAACGACAGGACTTTGGTGAGTATTATGGAGTAAAAGCTTGGGTTCCCAATGAATTCAAACGTAGAAGCCCTAACCCCCAGGGGAGCCTGTAAGGAAGCAATCAAGGTTAAATGAGGTAATAAATTGGCCCTAATCCAATAGGATGGTTGGCTTTCTAAGAAGAGAGATTAGGGCTCTCTTGTTGTCTGCATATGCCCTCAGGGAACGCCATGTGAGGATACAGAGAGATGGAAGTTATTTGCAAGCCAGGAAAAGAGCCCTCACCAGAAACTGATTTGTCTAGAACCTCCATCTGTGACTTCTAGACTTTAAATTGTGAGAAAATACATTTCTGTTGTTTAAGCCACCCAGTGCATGGTATTTTGTTATGGCAGCTTCAGCAGATGAAGACAATCATTAGGATGAGGGTGGGTAGTGAAGGAGAGGTTTCTAGCCCAGGGAACTGAAGGGACAATGACACCACTAACATAGATAGAAACCTTGGGAGAAGAAGAGGTGATATTTGCTGTGGTCAGTGAGACAACACTAATTATTCTGTATCTAGGGTTTACTCACTCAAACAGAAATACAGAAGTTAGTTATTCAAGAAATATGTTTATGAATGCATTCCCTCACTATGGTGAACCCTACGCTTGTCCTAAGAACACAAACTAAATAAGATTCATTCTCTTCCCTCAAGGAACTCACAGTCCCGTGGGGGAGAAATATTAGTTTTCTTTTGTGAAGCTAGAATGCCAACTTGAAAGGCCATTTTCCTTTTCCCTATTTCTAAAGACCTACAACTCATATGAACAAAGAGCTTTGGAGTAATGTAATCTGGTTTAGAATCTGGGTCTTGAAATATACAGGCTGGGTGATTATCTCAGGCAGGCCAAATAACCCTCTGGGTCTTAAGGTCATCTGCTATTTCAGACAAGAAAAGGGAGATAGAAATATTTTGTAAAGTTCAATGTGCATATTAGCAATTACTGTAATTATTATTAAACTATTTGGTACTGAGGATTGAACCCAAGGGTGCTTTATCACCAAGCTACATCCCTTGGTCCATTTTCCGAGGCAGGGTCTTGCTAAATTGCCAAGACTGATCTTGAATCTGTGATACTCATGTCTCAGCCTCCCAAATTATAGGGACTACAGGTGTATGCCACCACATCTAGCAATTGTTGTAATTATTAAAGCTACATTTCTAACCCACAAATACTGAAGATGAATCAGCCATGGTCAGCAAGTCAGAGGCAAGGTCAGCTGAACCCTGTGGGTGGCAGGGATTCCAGATTGGAGGAACAAGACTGAAGAAGTCAGGAAAAAAGAACAGGTACTGGGGCTTTACAGACCTTGCTCAATCACAATTCAGTCAGTTATTAGTTACAGAAAGCTGAGCAAGTCATATTATTGATCTGAGCTTTAGTTTCTTCATCTGTAAAATGGAGTTAATAATACCTACCCAGGAGAGTTGTTCTGAGTATGCAAAAGGCTTGGCATGGTGCCTGGCAGAGTGGTCCTTCAATTAATGTTAACTGTTGTTCCTATTAATATAATCATTTTCCTTTTCTGCCTCCTAAGGGGTTTGTGTAGGTGGTTAAGTTACTGAGATGCAAGGAAGTAAGCAAAATGGAAGAGCTATTAAAGACTTACTTTAAAAGTTATTTTTAAAGGCAAAGAAAACCAGTTCAACTCGGTTTTCCTCTCCTAATCTATGGTACAAACTCTTACAGAAATTGACCACTGTATTATATAGCTTGGAGCCTGACACAACTTGGTTCATTATTCCTTGTCTTCCATCCTAAATAGATCTACCAAGCACTATGAATAAAGGTCCTCTGAATGGAATGCTTCTCAAATTTTAATAGACACATGAGCCACCTGAGGGCTTGTTAAAATGCAGACTTTCATGCAATTGCTTTGGGGTGGGGCATGAAGTTCTGCATTTCTAATAAGTTCTCATTGAGATTAATGCTGGTTCATGGACCACAATGAAGAAACGGCAAGGCCAGGCTCTGAAAGGATGTGGAAGTATCTTCCTTGGCCTGGTATTCACCTTAATGGACAGCTTCTCTACACTGATCCACTAACCATAGAGTACTAACAGACACTAACAAGCTTGTTTCACCAGATTCAGAAGGTTCTGCACAGCCACTCATTTCAGATCAATGTCAGCCTTTCTGAACAGATTATTAAAATATAGGTGCCGGGGTTGCAAGGTTAATAAGATAACTCCTGCTTACAAAGATGGTTCTTATTGTCATTGTAAGTTCCACAGACTGTTAACTTACTGAGGGCAGTCTTGTCTCCATTGTTGTCTAAAATCATATAGATGCTCAACTAGTACTAAGCGAAGGAATGAAGGGGTTCAAAAAGAATTGCATTAAAAAATGTCTTCTGGCAGTACTTTAACCACTATCTTACCTATCACAGTGGTTAAGTTAAAATGAGGCCATTAGATTGGGTCCTAATCTAAACTAGTGAGAAGAGGAAACTTAGACACACAAGAAGACAACAAATATGCAGTATACAGAGGAAAGACCATGTCAAGAAGTAAGAAGGTGGCTAGCTGTCTGCAAACCAAGGAGAGAGGCCTCAGAAGAAACCAAACATAGTGATACCTTGATCTTGGACTTCCAGACCCCTGATCTGTGAGAAAATAAATTTCTGTTATTCAAGTCACCCAGTCTGTGGCATTTTGTTATGGCAGCTCTAGTAAACAAATACAGATTTTTTTTTCCATAGCTGTTACGCCCAGTTTCAAGACTCTACTTCTGCAGGAAATACAAAATGTAAGCATAGTTCTACAAACTGATGGATGGACCACAGAGTGCCGTGGGAACCAGTAGTGCAAGGATTCAGGGAGACAGATGGGAGAAAGGGAGGCATTAGCCCAGACTGGGCTTAAATAGCTGCCATATTCACATTTCCCTCCCCTTCTCCTAATAACAACACAAAGTCTAGGGCTCCCACCAAATCTGAGACTAAAAATAGCTTTTAGACTTTTTTCCCCCCTCCCTAGGATATGTTTTGATTTTTAACATAACTTCAAAAATACTGTGGCAGGAGGAAGACCCCCGATTTTTCTTTATACTCAAAAGTCCTAGAGAATATGCCTGTGATGATAAGGTTGAATTTTTGACAGAAAAAAAATGTATAAAAAATACAATCAAATGAGAGATCTTCTAGCCACAGGAAAGCTACATTTGAAGTCTGATTCTAAAGTCAGGGGATTGACTTTTGTTTGTTTATTTTTAGTAAGTATTACAAATGAGTGTGTCCTTCAAAACAGTTATTCTGTAAAGTTCTAAATTTATTCTAACCATGTGACTGTTCTTAAACCATGGCTGGAGTTGTTTTCAAGGTCTGTGAGATAGGCTTAAATGCTCTCAATGTGAATCCTTGAGGTAGATTTGATTTTCAAAAACAACCAGGGGCTCTTCTGGGCCCAATCTGGTGAACTGGGGTGGGAGGATGGGGGGCAGACAAACATAATCCCAAGGGGAACTGACTCAAGTATCCAGGCTGACCTCTCTTGAGTGAACTGGTCCTCAGTCTCAGATGGCAGTTTCTAAAGACAAACCCCAGCCATGGAATCAACATGTCATATAGCTCGGTTTGACACCAAGCTTATGGTAAAGAGGTGAGGGAGGAATGGTGGCTGTGATGAAGGAAACCCCTCTCATTTGGATATGCAAGTTTCTAAGGTCTCCTTTCTGCCCGAATATTTCCTCAAGTTCAGATCTACTATGGGGCTGGAGTTCCCAGAAGTACAAGAACTCAACACCTTTAGCCACATCTAATCCCAACTCGAGTACTGTTTGGGTCCAATAAATGGTAGATGCTAAGTTAAATATGGAGGAAGAATGTTGAAGGTGCCTGAGGCTTACTCTACCCCATATAACTAGGAAGCTTTGGAGGCAGACATTTCTGCTCTGTGTAAGGAAGAGATTGTCAGCAACTGGAGCTGTCCAGCAATGGAGTTAGGTGAGCTTCCAGTGCTGAAGGGAGTTTAACGCAAAGGATGTTTGCTATGGGAACCTGTAGAGGTGCCCCTGTTATGAGTGGGAAAATATGCAGTGACCTCGAAGTCCAGGGGACACAGTATCTGGCATTTGGTAGGCACTGAAAAAATACTGGTGGAATGGAATGAATGAAGAATATGGTGCACCTGGTGAGCCTAGTAGAGGGGAAGAGATCTGGGGCTCAGTGGGCTGCAAGGAAGGCTGGGAGAAGTGAGATGCAAACAGCCAGGGAAGCATGAGGTATGGCCTTCCTTGAGTTTGGGGATAGCGTTGAGTACCTGAAGCCCTTCATCTTTATGAAAGTGCAATACCTTTGAAGGGGAGAGGGATTAGGGGGAGGAGAAAGATCACTGCTCACCCTTCTTAAACTCCTCCAGCACCGTGTCCAGCCGGGTATCATTGAAGACGCAGTGCAGAGGCCTGTTGTAGAAGCGGGTGACAGTGAGAAGTGGGGTGCAGTCGTCGGGGTCCACGAAGGCCAAGTCCTTGACAAATAGAATGTCCACAATGTTGTGGCGCTGGTCGCCCTCGTACACCGGGATGCGAGTGTAGCCGCTTCGAAGTATCTCGGAGACAGTGGCAAAGTCCAGCACCGCGTCCGAGCGCAGCATGAAACAGTCCCCGAGGGGGGTCAACACCTCCTCCACCACCTTGGTGCGCAACTCCAGGGCGCCCTGGATGATGTTGAGTTCCTCTTTCACCAGGTCGCTGTAGGGGTCCGCTGCCCGCAGCGTTTCCAGCAGTTTCTCCCGCGTGTAGAAGGTGCTGATCTCCTGGCGCAGCGCCCAGTCCAGCAGGCGGCCCAACGGGTAGCACACCGGGAAGGCGGCCGCCATCAGGAGTCGGGTCAGGCACACGCTGTGCGAGGCGATGGCCAGCCCATGCCGCGAACACACAGAGTAGGGGCAGATCTCTGCCCCCAGGAACACCGCGCCAGTGCACACCAGCGCGGGCAGCCACGGGAAGTGAATGCCCGCCTCGCTGTAGTCTTCCCCCGACCCCCCGATGCCCGGCGGCAGCGAGGCATACAGCCAACCCGCCAGGGCGGCGTTGGCTCCGGCTTGGCCCAGGAGCAGGGTGCAGAGCAGATGGGTCCCCCTGCCGCGCACGGCCTGCACGCGGCGCGCCTGCTCCTGCTCGGCGGCCGAGCCACTGTTCCGCAGCACCCGTAACTCCACCGGGTCCAGCGAGAGCAGGCTCAGGCGCAGGCCGCTGAACAGGGCGGACAGGGCCAGCAGCAGGAGCGCCCCGAGCGCCCGCAGCCAAGCGGGCGGCAGCAGGTCCCCACCTGGGCCATAGAGCCGCGGGCGGACGCGCAGCAGGAAGCCGCCGGCGGCGCCGTGGTGGTGCCAAGCGCGCCCGTCCCAGGCGCACAGCGAGAAGAGCTTCCCGCCACCGCCCGCGCCGCCCCGCTCTGCCTCGCCCTTGCGCAGCTCTCGCACCCGCACCTGGACCAGGGCCGAGCCCGCCACGCCCCCGGGGCGCAGGGGCCCCAAGACCTCCACATCTGACGCCCAGTCGCTCTGCTCGCGGCAGCGCTGCGGTCCCGGGGGACGCGTGGGGACTGCGCTGGGCGCCACGCCGCTCCCGCTCGGGGGCTCCTCAATAAACACGAGCCGTGGGGCCCAATCGCCCGTGCCGTTCTCCCCGGGGGAAAGGGTGGGTGCGGGCACCGGCGCAGCGGGGGCCGCGGCACCAGGCTGGAAATAGACTCGCAGGAGGAAGCTGGTGCCTTCGGCAGCGCGCAGGGTACCCCCCTCCAGGGACACACGGCCTCCAGCAGTGTCCTCAGGCCGCAGGCCAAGCAGCCAAGCGGCGGCGGCCGGGGGCCTTGGAGACAGAGAAAAGAAAAGCAGGAGTACAGCGCCCCGGCTGCAGCAGTCCCGGAGCCTGACACCCACCGCTGCTGCTGCTGCTGCTGCCGCCGCCGCCGCCATCCTGCACCCGGCGCGGCTGCACGTGATACTGCAGAAAGCCGAGCGAGAGCTGGAGGGAGGAGGAGCTGGAGCTGGGAACCCGGCCCCAGGCAGGTCACCACGTGTGCTGCCCTTGCGCGTGGGCCGGAGGCTGTGGGGGTTCAGAATCCGCCAGGGAGGAGGATCTCCGCGGGAGGCTGGAGGTGGCCAAGCATCACCGCACCCCGCATAGCGGGACACACTTTAGTATGTCTGAGCTGCAGCCTGGGGAAGGTTTGGCTTGAAGTGGCCTTCTACTCAAGCAGTAAGACACCCCTCCTAGAACTGCTACCCGGCAGTAATTCCCTGCCGGCCTCACCACTTTCCTATTGGCTCAGGAATTTTCCCACTGTCTCCCTTGTCTTGCTGCCACTTGAGTTTGTCTCTTTCGTGAGAAGATAACCTGGAAGCAAGCTACTTTTGAATCTGTGAAAACTTTTAAGATTTGTTCTCAACTCCAGCTGACCTTTGATATTGTAAAAATGTCCAAATTATTTAAGTTTAATTCCTTTTTAAGATACGAATATCCATCCTTCAGAAACTTGAAATACATTGATACCATTATGTACTGGAATACTATGCTGCAAGAAAAAAGAATGCAATGGATCCAATGTATTTGTGATATGAAAAAGTCTCTAAAGTAACAGCAGAAAAATATCAAGGTGCAGAATAATGCATGGAATTTGCTACCTTTTGTGTTCAACATCTTTATGAATAAATTTATATGTATACATATACACACATGCATATATGTAAATATTAGATTTAAAATGTAGAGGATACACAAGAAATGGAATAGTGTTTACCTCTAGGGAGCAGGATTAGGCTCTGGAAGTTCCGTTGACAGAGACTTTTAAAAACTTATAGGACTGAGGTTATGGCTCAGTGGTGGAGTTCTTGCATAGCATATTGGAGGCAATGAGTTGGATTCCTGGAACTGGGAGGGGGGAGGTTTATCATCTCTTCTCCCCTATAGTTTCCCTCTCCATAAATTGAATAATACAATATGTAGTCTTTTTGGATCTGGCATCCCCTACTAAATTAGCATAATACATTTAAGATTCATCCCTATTGTTGTGCTTATCAGTACTTTCTTAAAAATATGGCTGTGTAGCATTCCATTTTATGATGTGTCACAGTTTATTAAAGGAAATTTGAGTTATTCTCCATTTTTGGCAATTATAAATCAAGCAGCTCTAAACAATTATGTGCAAGTTTTTGTGTGAACATGTGTTTTCATTTCTCTTGGGTGAATTTACTAGAGGTCATTATTTATTTATTTATAATGAAGTCATTTTTAAAAATTTATTATTTTTTTACTTGTTCCACTTAGTTGTACATGACATCAGAATGCATTTCAATTCATTGTACACAAATGGAGTGCATCATTAAAGTCATGGTTTTTATAAGTTTCATTTTATTTTGGTGCTGGGGATTAAACCCAGGGCCTCATGCATGCTAAGCACTGCACTCTACCAGTGAGTTATAACTCCACCCCCTTATTTTTGACACAATAATTTTGTATATTTATGTGGTACAATGTGATGTTTTGTTCCATTGTGGAATGGTGAAATCAGGAAAATTGTCATATCACCTCACATATGTATTTTTTCTTTGTGATGAAAATATTTGAAATCCACTTTTTAGCTGTTTTAAAATTCACAGTACATCACATTAATGGCAACTTATTCCTCTCATCTAGCTGTAGCTTTATAGGCATTGGCCAGCTTCTCCCATTTCCCAGGCTACCCTACTCTCCAATCTGTGGTAAACATCAACCCACTCTACTTCCACCAGTTCAACTTTTTAGATTCCACATATGATGTGAGGTGATATGGCATTTGTCTCTGTACCTGGCTTATTTCATTTAACATACTACCCTCTGGGTTTATCCTTGCTATCACAAATAACAGATATTTCCTGTGGTTTGAATTTTATTCATCTGTTGATGGACATAGCTTGGGTCCTTCTCTTGGCTATTGTGAGTAAGCTTGCAAGGAACCCAGGAATACAGGCATCTCTTTGGCATTCTGATTTCAAATCCTTTCAGTATAGTCCCTTCGGTGAGATTGCTGGGTCATATGGCAATTCTGTTTTTAGTTTTCTATGGTACTTCCATTACAGTTTTCCAAGATGACCATACTAACTTACATGGATGACGTTTAAATATGTAAAAGTAACAACAATTTCACATACTACCTTTGGCACCTCTGGACAATGAAAATAATCATTACTATGTGTTAACTTTTATTTTCTGTAGCATTTGTGAGCCTGCAAAGAATTGGCCAGAAAAGTTTTGCAAAGAATAAAGCCTAATACACACCATCCTTGAAAAGGTTACCTCTTTTAATTTTTAGTTGTCAATGGACCTTTATTTTATTTTTTTATAGGGGTGCTGAGAACCAAACCCAGGGCCTCACATATGCTAGCGAGCGCTCTGCCACTGAGCCACAACCTCAGCCCAAGAACAACCTCTTTACATCACAAATTTTTATAACCCACAGTGGAAATAGCTTCTTCTCTGTTTGGCATTAGATAGGCCTTAGCAAGTGTTGGTCATATCCTATAGTTTGCCTTTCACATTCTGCAGGGAATGGGCCATAAACCTGTCATGACCTTTAAATACAGTAGATCCTGTCAGTTTTCTCAACTGTTGTGAGGATTAAAAGGAATAATGTATGTGGCATAGAGTAAGCCCTTCATATAGGAAATAGGGGCAGAAGACACAAAATATAATATTTTTCATGTTCTTCCTAATGTATAAATTCTTCTATCTTCATTGCATCTCATTTTGGGGGTTTTTCAGACCCTTCTCTCTAGATGGTCCCTAAGTTGTATATCCTCACTAAAAACTCTTACTTCTCTCCTGATCTTAGATTTCTCTTCCCTCCCAACCTAAACCCCTCAGCACAAAGGCACCGGTTATGCTAAGGATTCTTGCCCCTCTTTTAGGCCACAGGATTTTATCACCACAACAAAAACATTTAATACTTTTATCAAAAATGAAGAGTTACAAAGAAATTTTACATTTTATTATCTTACACACATAAGAGCCCTGAGTAGATGTTATTATGTCTACTATCCAGGTCAGGTTAAATGACTACTAAAATGTCCTTGAAACTTTAGGTTGATATTCCTTAAAACCCTGTAGGTACCAAAATAAAATATTTCAAAAATAACACAAAGAAAACACATAAATGAATTATGACACTATGAATTAGAGGTAAACACATATTTTGGTTTACTTCTTTTTATTTTCTACATAGATTAAATAATTAAGAAACCACATGCTCTCCATATGTTTATATATTTTATAATTGAATATACTATATGTACAATTCTAGTCTTCTGCCTCTTAACATGTCAAGAGTTTTACCCTTCGTGTAATAAAAACTTCTTTGATAAACATAATTTTATAATGAGAAGAGAAAGAGAACAGTAAAAATGGTCTGATTGTATTGGTTGTATTATTAAGTGTTAGATTTATGAAAAACAATTTTCGTTTCTGAGTCCAGTTCCTCACCTGTGAGCTGAAAGACATTTTTCTGGTCTCTATTCCGTCATGATTAAGGACTTACATACCCCGAGTGAAAATCATCTAGAGAGACAAGTACTTTTCCTTTTGCTGAACAGGAGGTGCTGGAAAAGTACTGGGTTCCCAGAGCCCTGCTGCAACTGAAGGATTCCCAGGGACAGGTTCAGCCGGTCTGAATCTCCTAAGGAAGAGCTGCCAAAAATAGCTCCCCAGAATCTGAATGTTCTCTATCTTCCTAGTTTTATAAGATGAGCAATTTCTCAATTCTTAGATGGAGGAAATAATATTTGCCTCTAATATCATGAGTATGCTGTTTCAGAATGTGTATGTTAAAATGCTTTTATTTCATTACTTATTCATCCATCCAATAAATATTTGTTAGTTGATAAAGTGCCAGCCCCTATGCTGGATTTCGGTGTATCTGATGCCATCCAGGATGAAGCTTAGATTTTATAGAGGAAGACAGATATGAACCCGAAATTGCTCGCTCCCTCCTGTGAAGGCTATGTTCAAAGTGCTATCAGGGGTGCACACCTGTAATCCCAGTGGCTCCAGAGGCTGAGGCAGAAAGATTATGAGTTCAAAGCCAGCCTCAGCAATTTAGCTGAGGCCCTAAGCAAATCAGCAAGACCCTGTCTCTACATAAAATATAAACAAAGGCTGGGGATGTGGCTCAGTGGTTAACTGCCCTGGGTTCAATTCTTGGTAGGAAAAAAAAAGGTTTTTATCAGGGTGTATAACTTGGGACTCATCTAGATAGAGGGATCTGGATAAACTATTCCCCCAAATCAGTGTAATGAAAATAGTGTATACATTAGGAAGAACATGAAAAATTTGTTTTGTCTTCTATTCACTTTTTGTACTACCTTACGATTATTATAGTATGTTATTTTTCCTAATAGTATTACTTAACATGTATTGAGTGCTTATTACCCACCAAGTACGTTATCCCTTTAATCCTCACAATAGTTGAGAAAACTGAGGTTTTGATTGAGACTGTGAAAATCAATGATTAATGGGTAGTTGAGACCAAACAGATAAACAGTCTGAGTCAGAGCCTATGATTTTAAAAGTTAGAAATATAGCAATACCAGGTAGCTCTTACAGAAAGCTTATAAGGCATAAACGAACTCATTTAATTCTCAGAAAAACCTTTGGAAGTACATATTATCATTTCCATTTTACACGAGGAAGCTAAACTACAAAGAGATTAAATACTTTGGTGGCCTGTAGCAGGGACACTGTCAATGAATGGCACTATTTTATATAAACACTACTTTAATAGATGCTTGCTGTACTTTTGATCATTTGTGTACATTCTTTTACATAATTGCACTTCCCATGTTCCTACACTTGTAGTATTCTGTTTCTTTCTTTTCTTTTTCATTTTTATAGTCCTGGAGATCTAACCCAGGACCTTGCACATGCCAAGTAAACTCTACCACTGAATACACCCCCAGCTATTTTTTTATTCATCATTGTAGCATAAATATTTTGCTTCATCAAAACAATTTATAAACATGTTTTTCCTCTTTCCTTTCCTCACCTCCATCCCCAGTTGATGTTATTTACTTGTTGGTTTTACCACAGGCACAGAAGATTGAGTTGGTTGCCTTTCTTGGTTGTGGGTTGGTGGTGTACTATCACTGTATGCGGTTAAAGGCCTACTCCAGCCCATCATAACGCCCAATCTCAT